AAACCCGCCGTCTCAAACAATCAGCAATGGAGGTGATTATCTCCCAAGAGCTCAGGAGCAAAATAATGGCGAGGGCGAACCATTAATTTATCTACAGATGACTGTCGAAAAAAAATGATTGAATTCAAACTATTTAATATTATATTGATCTTGAAATTTAGTAGATGTGCTAATTAAAGAATTTTTTCAATTCAAACTATTCAAACGTTAATTGTAACGTCTGAAAGCTGATAATTCGATAAAACGTATGTTTAATTGATTTTTATAAAATTTATTTTTTTCTTAAACCTACTTCAAAAATTTCACTTGAATTAAAACTTGTGTCGATTCAAAAGAAATTGAAGCAGAGGAAAAAATTAAATTGATAAATATTTCTTTTTTCTTTTTTTATAAAGCAATATTTTGCCAATGCAATTTATTATTAATAAACAATTATTTTTAACATTAACATTTAACAATCTTATTGTTTTAACAATTTCTTGCACCTCTCTAACGTTTTTTTTTCTCTTGGAGGAGTAAACTCGAGTTGTCCGATATCGTATTTTTAATGACACATATGCATCAAAATTTCACTTGCAAAGCAGCGGCTCTTTCATTCCTCCATCCGTCCGTCCGCCGCCGGAGTCGGAAAAACAAAACCAGAGCGGGGCCATTAATAATTCAGTGCAAAAAGTGCATCGGTGGCTTTGGCGCATGCATGCATATGCATGCAGTGCGGTACGTGCGGAGGTGGGCGCGAGAATTTGAGCGTTTCATTTGCATGGCCGCGACACAGAGCCGTGTGTGGAAAAAAGCAGACGCTGATTAGGAGGGCATGCATAAAAGATGAAATCAGCGTTGGCTCGGCTCGCCAGCGGAGAGTAATGAGGTTTGCTATTTCAGCACCTGCCCTCTCACGTTAATCAGGCTGCAATCACACATGTGTCAGGTCAAAGGAGTAACGAGTGGCGCGTTCTTCTTTGTTGTCTCAAAATTTCCGTTTGTTTATCATTATGCTGGGTGGGCTGCAGGTGATTATGTCGAGTGCAAAACACACAATCATGCAGCTCAGTTAACGACCCTTTCGGCGCAAAAAGCCCCGAGAATTGGCCTCGTCTCTTTTTCTCTCCCTTTCTTCCCTTTTTCGTTTCTTTTCTCTCTTTCTTTTGCCCCCGGCCTTGGCTCTTGAGCACTCTTAGCTGAAAAATACTCTCGGCAATACGTACACTTTTACTCTATATACGTGACTGTCTTGCAGTTGCTCCAACTCGAGTGGAGTTGTGAAACACTCGCCGTCTCACCTTCCGTCTGTATATAGTCCGAGGCGATGAAGAGTTAAGCAGTTTTGCAAGTGGTCCTTTAAAAATAGAGCTCTCTGCTCAACCAAGTGAAAAAATACACAGTTGTTGCAACCGTCATTAGCAGCAAAATTGAAAATTTGAGTTGATTTTCTGTGGAAGGCAGTACCAGATATATATTTTATAGCAAATATCACCTTTCAAAACTAATGTGTATATTTCTAAAAGAAAAATTAATTAATGTAAAATCATTATCAATTGCTCTGCAATTTTGATTCAGGAATGGCAAGATTTCATGTAAAGTGTAAAGGATCATAATTTCGGCCTTGATTTGACAGTGAAAGCGAATAATAATATATTAACCATTAACTAAACATCAGCTATAATTACACATAAAAATTTTAAGTCATCTAAAAAGACTAAAACAAAAAGTTTCAACTCTCTTTTGTTAAAGTATATACAATAAAATTTAAAAACAAAACAAGAGGGTATAAATTATAATTTTTTTTAATTAACTTAAATTTAGTTATTATTCAAGTATTTTTATATTAATTAATATATTTGTTGATGTACTTAATTCTTTTGTAATGTACGTTTAAAGAAGTTCAGAAAAATCTAATTTAAAAATTGTTAATGGAACATAAATTTGTATACTCACTTGCTCAGATCATCTATGAACATTTCTTAATAAATAAATACAGTACACTGACCCATGTAATGACATTAAGATTTTGGTAAGGTTATTGATTGTAATCATTATAACATATAAATATAATAAAAATGATTAATATAATTAAGGTTATTTAATAGTAAACAATTTTAATTGAAAAGAATAGGAATTTTTAGAAAAAACGGCACCACCACTAACAAGAATTTTGCTTAAACTTCCGAGATCAAATAGATAGCTTGGATGACTTTTATTCATAAATTACTTTTTATAAATCTTGAAAAGTTTAAAAATTTTGAAGAGCAAGTATCACCCACACTTGCGCAGACCTCACGTGTATTTTTTACCAAGAACTTGGTGTGCCCAAGTTGCTGGATTTTCTATTTCATACATACAAGTTGTGTTTGTTTTTCCATCTGCAATGAGGCGTGCAGGTGAAGATGAACAACACGCAGTACAAACAAAGCACACTGTGCGCAGACTGGCAGTTTGCGGCACAAAAACAAATTGCTCCAGCTGGAATGCGTAATGGGCGGTGCGGGCCAGGAATTTTGATTCACTCCGTTTTCGTCCCGGCTCCTCTCTCTGTAATTGCAGTGCATAATGAGCCAGGAAGCGTGCTGTGCACTCTCCTCGATTTAACGAGTCATTTGCACTCGGCGCTCATCAACTCGCCGCTCAAAAATGAAGTCACGTCCGCCTGCCACTCTCGCTCCAGTTTCAATTTCGCCGGCGACTTCAAACAAATGAGCCTTAACTGCTGCTAAAGAAAAAAACTTTTTACTTTCTTTGTCAGCGGCTGAAACAATTGCAGGCCCTCAACTCCAAAGGCCCTTTTCCCGAGTTCTCTCTCGCAATCAGTAGCGTTTCTTCCGCCACTAATTGCGCAACGTGACACTAATTGCGCTGCAATAACAATTGCAGTTTGTTTCCTTACTACATTCTCTGTTTATTTTGTAGAATTCATGCTGTTGTTTCGTTTTTCTTCTTTGTTTGCAGCGGGTTTGCATTGCAGTTTTTTATTTTTAGATTTATAAGTGCTGAAAACTAGTAAAGAGTATGGCAAGGCAGCTTTTCTATAATAAATTGTTTTAGTGATGCTTATAAGATTTTTCTTTTATTCTTTTCTGGAAAGTAAATAAATACTATATTTGGTGCCTGCTTGTTTATGGATTTAAGTGAATTTTTATTGATACGTCTCGCTATGGGTAGTGGTTGCTTTTGTTTTGTACAGTATTAATAATATTATTTTTGCAACTAAATTTTTTTGCAGAAAGAAAAGATTCAATTCAATACTTATCAGGGTTATTCCATGTTCCCTGAAATTTTAACCCACTTTTTATTTCATAAGATACTTTTAATTATTTTATTTAATCATCCATCTATTTCTACAGACTAATTCTGTAAAATATTTCCTAAATCAAGGGAGAGATTGAAATTTATAAAAATTTATTTACGATTAGAGATAAGGATAACACATGTATGGCCTGTTTAGTGTGTTTCACAAAATTTATTTAAATAAATTATTTTATACGTTTTTAAAATCCAAAATTCATTAAATTTTAAATTATGGAAATAATAAATTTTTTAGGACTAAAAGTAAAAAAAATTATGAATCAATAGTTTTCTATCCTTACCATTGCCTAGTATGTTGATAAAAGTGTTAATCAGAGATTATATTACCAAGCCTGAGTTCTGGCCTTGAGATTTAAATGTACATTCAGGCTGTGACAACTTTTTGCCTCGTGCAGGAGCAACAGATGGGGGCTGCTGGTCGCGCGCAATCAAATTAGTGTGCGGCGGATGTGTCGCGCGGGAAAGAATGAGTGTCGGTGGACATGAAAGGCAGCACTTAGGGCAATCTTCAGGGACGAATCGCAGGATAAACATATGCACTTAAGGCGTCCTCGAGGGACGCGCCGGCCGCTGTCTCATTATTGATCACGTTGGCCGGCAATCGCAATTCCGTCCACCTCCCTTGCTCGCGTCCAGGGAATTCTCTCTCTGCTCGCGCACTTGACGGAGCTGCGCCTAAATAAAAAGACAAAACAAAAAATACACACGCTTTGTTCGAAAAGTTTGAGGAAAATTTTGTTCTAAAATCTCCTCTCCACCACCTGCTTCTATTTGTATACCGAAGTGGAAATTCGTGCCCTCTGGTTCTCCGACTTGCCATTTGTGGATTTTGTTTGCTGCTAGTTTTGTTTTCGAGAATTTATGTCGGCTGAGGTGAGGCAGTTTGCAAGTGTTCAGCCCCTGGGGGTGACTTTTGCCTGAGTTTTGCACCACCTGCGACCGAACCGCCGGCCCTTGCTCTCTGCCGGGCCGGGGCGGAATCGTAGGCAATTAGACTCGGATCGAGGCTCAATAACCGCAAATGACGAAAGTCCTTAATGACGACTTAAAATGAGTTAGTGCGTCTGCCGTGGAACTGATAAAGTACACGCACGCACTTCGCCCACCCGCAGAGCTCGAGGGCCAGGAACCAGAATCACTTTATTTTGAGCTGGTCATTCTGCAGAATGGGCTCGGAAACATTTCATACAAAATTTTCATTGCGAAACTCGTTCAATTTTGGGTAATCAGCTTTACTTAAGTTCAATTTAATGCCAAAAATAAATATTCAAAGGAGACAACAAATTTTTTATTGTGTATTAGTGTTTTATTCATCACCTAGCTGAATAAATTTTCCTACAATAAAACTTTGAGGATTTATTTTATCAGCAACCAAAATACTTTTCAAGCGAATTTTAGAGGCTTAAATCTTTTAGGAAATTTGACTTCTTTATGAAATTTTTGAAGATCAAAATATCAATTTGGATTGGAACATAAATTCCTTTCAAAGAATCGTCTTGATTTATTCATAATTTTCCAATTCTTTGGAGGAAAAAAATGATTCCACATTTCTACGATTTTGTTTGGTAATGTGACGAGCATAGTTACCAATATTTATGACGCATTTTAGGCCAGTATTTTAATTTTTCGGTAGTTAGTGCTGTAGTACTTTATTTTGCATTTTGCTAAACAGATTTTGAATTTTGACCTTTTTGTTTCAGCTACTACGCGAGCGCCGCGTTTGGTTCAGCGGCGCCCGGGGGCGGCACGCGGCTCGTGCCCCCACTCAAACGCCCCCGACTGATGGTGCCCCCCGGGGCCAGGCCCATCTTGAAAGCGGCAGTTTCCGCGCAGAAGGCCCCCGCGTCGGCCTCCGTCGGACAACTTAAAACTTACAGTCAGTATTTTTTTTCGTTGATTTGAAAGATTTTTGTTCTGCAAAATCAGAAACAAAAGCAGAAGTTTATTTCGAGACATTTGAGAGTGCAAAGTAAAACGTGATTGATGTTGCGCCGCCAACAGCACTCGCTGAATATCACAACAGAGAGTTAGTCTGAGCGAAATAATAATAATATCTTGCATCGGCAGCAACGCAGCAGGCTCAATTAATTAACTTGTCAGGCTTATCTCTTTGTAATTTAAATCAGCGGCTGGCGTTTTGTTAATGCAATTTTTTATGCGCCCCTCGCGTTTCACGGCCAGCTAATTAATTGATCGCTGGCTGGCGTGTCGCACGAAACGATATAAACAATAGACTCCTCTTTCTCTCTCTCAACTTCTTTGAACTTCTGATGTCAAGTGTTATTCAAAACTTTTTTCGGGCCTCTCACGATATTTGGTCGTTTTCGCAGGCAACCCAGACATCCTGATCTGCGGAAATTGCAGGGAGATGTTCACCGAGTTGCAGGAGTTGCTTGAGCACAAGAAGACCTACTGCAAGCTACGGTTCACTTGCAAGTGCAGCCTAATTAATGGACTTAAGCCAGGTAATTGTCAAAAAGAATTCAAATTACGTCTTATTATTAATCAAAATAAAAAAAATTTAAAATATTTTATTTAGATTGTTCAGAAATCAGATTGATTTATTTTTCTTTCCGATTGCAAAATTATTTAGATAATTTTTAATTGGGATATTTTTACTGCAGCTGGCGAGTTGTTCAATGGGGCAAGTGAGACAGAAGGGTCAGGGGTGGCGTGTCTGTTGTGTGTGCAGTGCAAGGACGCGTTCCACAGTCCCTGGGACCTGATGGTGCACGTCCAGGCCGCGCACATGCTCAACATCTACGAGCTTGGTGTGCCTAACCGAAAGGAGTCTTCAACCTCGCCCCCGCCTCTCCAGGAAACGCCGCCCCCACCGACCGCCGCCGTCTGCCCTTTGGAAACACTCAATGATGATATGGTGAGCAAAAATATTATTTTAAGACAATATTTAATTGTTGCATTTACATAATTAAATTAGATAGACCGTTTCAGTGTAAAATAATTATTTAATTTTCACAGAATCCAAATTTTTTTAAATTTTTGTTTTTCTACAATATAGCAAAAAAAAATGCCAGTTTTCTGGTTGAAAATTTGATAACTAGTCTCGATTAAGAAATTATGAAGTAATTTTAAATATCAATTATATAAAAAGTGTGGATCTTATTGTTAATACCACTAGAAAAATTTCCATTACACTCTTGCCACGCCAGAAGTAATTTTGCGTTGTGCAGGTCTTGCTTATGCGCTCTCTCACAAATTGAAAAACTAAACATAAGAATAAGAAAGGTGTGTGCAGTAATGAAACGGCAGGTGCTGCGCGCAGTCGGTTGTTTGCGCCTGCTGGGGGTGTAATATAGTTTGCACACACACATACACATGACAAGAACGATTTCACCCGAGTGATTTACCTTCATTATTTCCTACTCCGTCAAAGCGAGTGTAATTAAAATGCGTTCTCCTCCGATCTGATCTTTCCTTCAGTCGCTGATTCGCGATTAACGATGATGAATAGATTGGACGAGTGATAGAGAAAAATTGATTAAATTAAAACTGCGAGCGCCACGCCCCGGATTAATCAATCAATCATCGGAGGTGTGGCAGGGGTTCGCGCACTACGGATATGTACATACTGATATTATTCCATGTAATGTCAGCAACTTATCGCATCACTCATCCATCAACACGTGTTCAAACCCATGTGACTTTTTGACGAATCGACTCCTCAAATTTCAAAATTTCTTACCATCAGGAAAAACTGACAATGTGATCCCATCTACAATCTAGTACAAAATTTTTTGGTGTGAAAAATCGGGAAAAAAATTGATGTGAAAATTTGCATAATCTCTGATATCATTCAAATCAAAATCATAGAGATCATCTTCGTGCGTGTTTGTGCGTAAAACCTTCTTCAATAAATTTTTTGCTCATTATTTTAGTTCTTCAGAGTAATTTTATATTTATTGCAAATATAATAGGCAACACATTAAACCAAATTTTTAAGATTATTTCCCTTTTAGTTAAATAAATTTTAGCTAAATTAAAAATTTAATTAAACCGCTAATTAATTTCATTCTTTTAAAGCAAAGTCATATATCAACCATAAAAAAAAACTACTGAAACAATGCTTTTGTGTGCTCCGAGGTGCACTGTGCCAGTAAAGGTATTAAGATATTTTCAATTTTATTTACAATATCAACTCCCTCTCCGGTTTATGAGGATTCGATCTCTGGCCATCTGCCCACCAAGTAAAAGAGTAAATAATTCATTTCGCACTGGCACGCCGCGAGGTCTTTTTCTTTTCTCTTTCCGCCTGACGTGAGCGGAATTTCGCGAGTGCAGCTGCAGCATCTCGGTCGGAATATAAAAATGAAATATACAAAAACGCACACACATGTGTGTTTTCTCCGTGTAAATATGAGTGTGCAATCGTGCTCGCCCGGAGGCGGGGGTGGCCGGGGGCGGCCGGGCTCTTTAATTAAAGACAACGACGGGCTGCATTTGCAATTTAAACCACCATTATCGCCAACTGCCGCCGCCGCCACCGCCCTGTGCGCACCAACAATATAAATGAATACTGCCTGCATGCTTACACACGCTCATTGACTTTGGTGTGCAGCGGGATGACGGCGACGGTGCTCTCTGCTGGTGCCGGGGGCGGCAAAAAGTCGGAAATGGGCTTCTCCAGCGGGAATCTCTCGCTGATGAGAAAAGCGGGCTGAAAATGCTTGACAATCGTTCCAACCTCGTTTCAGATTTTTTTCACTCAAAAAGGGGAGGAATGTTAAATAACTTTTTGGGTGAGAGCACAATATGGAAAAATGGAAAAGACACAAGTGGTTATTCGATTCAATTTTTATGCCAATTGATTTTATTCTGAACAAATTTCTACTGTAAAAAGGGATTTAAAACTTTTCAAATACTTGGAATTCTTTTTTCTTAATTTCTAAATAAAATCAATAATTTTGTAAAATTTCAAATTTGTCTCTTCTTAAGAGAATTTTTTTTCCTTATTATCAAAATAGATTTAGAATAATATTGTTTTTGGAAATCAAATATTTTTAAAGACCTAGAACAATAAGTAACTATTTTTACGGTCTCTAGATTTTAAAAGAAATTTGAGGATTTTCCCCTCTAGAAGATACTGTGCGTGTTTCAGGAGGGAGGTTCTCCAAGGGCTGCGGCCGAGGAGGCGGCCACCCCGCCCGAGGGCGCGACCGTGGCCACAAGCATTGAAGACTTGGACGACGACGACGACGAGATGGAAGAGGAACTGCTGAACGATTTGCACCCTAGGCGCACCAACAACAACATAATCGATCCGAAAGGGACCCTCGAACCCAAAGGACAGCTGGAACAGGCCCACAAGCAGGCCCAGCAGCAGAACTGCATAGTCAGGGCCGTTCGCCTGGTAAGCAACAAGTTTTTCTTTGCCTTTTATTATTTACATTTGAAATTTAAAACCTGCTGAATTTTCTAATTTCATTAGGTATTTTTTTTTTTTAAATTTTAAATACAACTTTGTGGCGGTTAATAATTATATTAATTCAACATTTTCTCTAGAAAATTATATATTAAATTTATTCTTTGATTTGACCAATTTATTTACCAAAGAGTCTTCTTTTTGTGTTATAGAATGTGAATTTGTCCGAGGCACTGAAGTCCGAGCCCACTCTGGTGGCCGTGGGAGAGCAGGAGTGATGGCCTGAGGCCGTCGCTGCGGCCGCCCACACATATCGGCCGGTGCGTGAGCGAATCGAGACATTCGCTGTGTGATACTGCCAACCCACCAGGCGGCCAGAAGGCGGCCATCGAAGGCGGCCACTCCACTCAGTTGTTGCTTCTTTTCTGAATAGCGCGTCCTTATTTGGTCATTTCTGTTTTCTCTGTTTGTTTTTTGTTACCCTCCGTGGATGAGAATATAAATAAGTATAGCGGGCGAGGGTGTATTTCTGTCTCATTCGCCGCCGCCCGCCCATAATTAATAAATATATTATCTCTCTTGCTATTGTTTACCTTTGTACACTTTAATTAACCGAGCAGCTTCTTCTGTATTCGATTAATATCATTATTGACTATGTATTAATCTGTATCTTGTTATTGAGTCTCTCCGCAGTTGATTAATTTACCTTTCGATAATTATTACGGAATTGGATACCTTGGTCAGTGTACAGATCTGTAGTCTTTAATCAATGTTACCGACAAAATCTACTCTAATTATAAACTGCAATAAAACTACACCAGAACTGCATTTTATTCAAGATGACACTCCTAAATTTTCTAATCAAATGATTTTCCATGTCTTGTTAAATAAACAAGAACTTATTTGTACATAATTGAAAATCAAATTATTCATAAATATTTCAATTTTTTTAAATTTTCTTTGAAAAAATCAGAAATTTTTCACCAGAATTTTCTTGATAAATTATAGAAATGCAATATTAAAAAAAAAAGATTTTTCCGTTCAACTCTTTTTGGAAATTTTACCAAATAAATGACTATTAACCTAAATTGTATATTATCAATTAACTTTTATTATGAATTATTATGAAATTATTGTTACATTTTTTTTAACAAGTCAATTTAAACTGAAGGTTACTAGCTATAATTAGATTCACAATCAGATCAGCTGGCAATAAGTCGAAGCACAACGCCATTCTCACAGAATAATGGGTCGTTTCGTTCAGCATACGAGGGCACAAAGCTCGTCATTTTCAAATCACGACGTGCGAGTTAATTGCCAGTTTAATACTGCCAGCCGAGTCGAGAGATATAAAAAGAGAATTGTGTGAGAACTGAGTGCAGTGCGCGCCCATACCATATCCAGCAAGGGCAAATTCAAACGTAAGAAGAGGCAATTAATGGGGTCGAGCCCTCGGTGGTGCAAAACTGGCGTGACACGTCGAAAAGCCACCCCCATAAATAACCCGTCGCTCGTCTCCTTTGAGCAGAGGGGCGACTTCGGGACACCGGCCGGAGAGCGCGCCGCCGAGAAGTGTGCCGGGCCCTCGGCAATATTTTGCCAACTTTCAACTTGCAGGATGAATATATGGCGAACCCGGACTGAATTATGGAGGGACGACAGAAAGGCATTATTATTCATTCCTGCTGCTTAAATGAACTTTAAATTAATAAAGGTCTATATAAATAAACGTATTTTTATAATTATTTATTACTGTATTTATAAAAGTTTTTTTTGTTTAATAAAACTTTATACGAATATTTTAAATTTATTTATTAATTATAAATTTTTATGTATAGTTATTTCTGTTTATTTATAACTATGTATCAGATGGAGATTTAATAAATATATATTCCTAAAATTTTTTTAAATGTATAATTTTAGTTCTTGAAATTTGTTTCATTATATTCTCTGACAACTGACATGTAATATCTTTACAGCACTTCCAGGAAGTTTTTCACGGCTAATTATGAAATAATTAAATATTAATAATATGAAATATGAACAGAATAATTACACTTGAATTTTATTTTTGATATTTTTGATTGGAAACAATAAAGTCAAATTCAAAATAATTATATTTAACCACGCGAATTAATTGTGTAAATCTTACTAAAGTTCCTAAATGGCCTTTTTAATTGTAAATTGCGTTTACTGCGGTCGAGTAATAAAATAAACGTTGCGAGACGAAATTCTAAAAATTGCGTCTGCCCACCCCGCTCGCGCTGTGACTTTTTATGTCTTCATGCACGCGCAGTTTTGTAGGACAATATTTCAAGGGCGTCGCTCGCACGTTCGCAATTATATGCATAAAAATGAGGAGCAAACAATGGAAGGGCATTTTATTATTCGCACCCGGGATCATTTTTATCGCTTTCGGCACATTGTGTTAAAATTCACGCCAACACTTCATGCAAAGCCACAAAAGTAGTGGTGAACATTTATTTATTGGCCACAATTGCGGCCCATCAGCCACTTTCAGTCAATTTGCACTTCAAACAAAATGCGGCCGCCGACTCACAAAGAGCACAAGCAAAAGAGCACCCCTGCCTCTGCGGTTTTTATATTTAATGCAATCATTTCGGTGTTGGCGCTGCTCGGTTTTCACACTTCATTAAGCACCAGCAACTAAAAAAACTCTACCAATTTAGAAGCAAATAAAAATGTGAAATCAACAAAGCAAACTGAATTTTTTTTACATATTTTTATTTGTGTCTGCGCTTTGAAGGTTGAGAACTTTGTTATAATTTTTTTTTCTCCAATGAATGTGAATAATTTGAAAATGTTATTGAATTTTTCGAAGATAAAAGTTAATGCAATAAAACTGAACTTTTTAAATGTAATTCTTCATAAGTATATCTTAATCAGGAACATATCAAATGAATTTTAGAGACTAAAAATGATCTTTGTGAAATTGATTCTTCTGTTTATGATTGTCGCAGAAATTATTGAAAATTATATCAAAAATTCAATAATTACTTAGAACATAAACCTGCCAAAAACTCTTTCACAATCTTGAAGTACCTTCCATGGCTCGCTTTAAATTAATTACGATCTACTGTATTAATTGAAAGATACCTTCAAACTGTAAGAAAGGTATATTCGCCACAAGGGTAATCAGTAATCTGCATGCGTTGATTGCATTGCAGTCAAGGACCAGAGGAGCTCTTGTCTTGTTTTGAACACATCCCCAAGGAGCAGCCGCAGGGGTGTTTGCAGGGCGATATTATTTATTCAGGCGGTCATGCATCGGCCATTCGGCGCCAAGACAAGACACAAGTCATTTCCAGCCGACGTGCACCGCCGTATCGGCTGCTGCGACTCGATAAATTGTCCCGGCAGGGCGTCCCGAGGACACGACTCAATTAAACCGGCGGCCCACACGTTCTGTACCCCGTGCAATTTACGACCTCTCAATAACGACGACCCGCGTTTACTTATTCACAACTCCTTGCGCTAATTAATTGCTTCTCAACTTCATTACTGCTCTTGCTGCTGGACCGACACGCAACTTTTCGGACACATTTCGGCCTGCCCGATATAATTTATTCAAATTTTACGATTCCATAATAAAGAGGAAGGTAAATTATGAGTCTGGTAACGTATGGGATTTTGTAAAGAAGAAAACTAGGGGAGAGGAAGTTATTTGGTCTTTAATCTCTAATATGAGTCATATTTACACCCAGAGACGTGGTAATAAATCCTCAGAAAAATACTCACACATGTAATAGAAAAGCAAGAATTTATGTAACCCTTTTCATCTGATACTCTTGGTCAAATGGCTTGATTTCTTTTATATATTCAAAGTGTCTTTATTAATTTATCGGAAGGCAATTACTGCCCAAATACATTTAAAAAATAATCAATTGAAATCATGGGAAATTCATTATTATCCAGGTCAATTATTTTTTTAGAAATCTACTTTAATAAACTGACGTTATCCACAGAGATGAACTGAAACAAAATCATCAAATTTCCGAAACAGCCAATTTCCGGTTTGGCAAATTGGAAAATAATTGAACGGCCACGCATGCACCCCTTGCTTTTAATTCTGGCCGCGCGATAACGAGCGATCGCATTTCCGTACTGAGAATTGCGCCCTCGCTTCATTGTACTCCTCAAAATGGACAATTTCCTGTTTTCCAAACAGTACGAACCCGGCGCCGGTCAGAAGTGAGAATGGGAAAGGAGCGTGTTGGCCGGGGACTGACGTGCCAAAGCGGAATTAAGTACAGATTTGTGGGAGAGCGACAGTTGCTGCCGGCCTGATTACAATTATTATCTCTCTCACAGTCAGTTGGCACCGCCAGTCGCCGCCGTACCAAATTTCCGTCCGCTCACAAAAAGTACAAGAAGGAAAAGAGGCACATAATGCAATTAAAAGCGTGCTTGATAAATAAAAGCGCGAGATTTGAAAGGCGAGAAGAAAGAGAAAAGCCGTCGTCAAGTCCGTGTTGTTTTTGCCGCGTTTTATTGCGACGGCCCTTGAGGCGCAATATGTCTCTTGTTTCTCGCGCCGAGGCTCAAATTGGAAATGCGACACCACCCTTTGACGAATCAAATGCGATCTCGCATCCACTTACCATCCAGAGACAAAGAAAGAAAGAGAGAGACATAATTTATTTGGGCTTGTGTAAACGGCAGGCGCGAGTGAGCGAAGGCTTTGATGCAATTTCGCGTTTGGTATCCGAGAACCATGTTGGTGTTGAATTTCAATTTTGACTTTTTACATTTTCCAGAAATTGAGACATTTGATATTGAAAAGTAAATTTGGATTTGTTGGAAACATTGCAAATTTAGTGATGCTATTGAAAAAGAGGGGGGGGGCTTATTTGAGCTAATTTAAAGTTTAAGAAAATATTTGAATCAGAAAAGACCTTCACGGGGGGGGGGGGGGGGAGGGGGTCATAGAAGTTTCCTCGTTGATGAAATTGGTTTTAATTATTATGAAAATGAAAAAAAAAACAGTAAAGCTTTTTTAGTTATGAAACAGAGAGACTGTCGCTCAAAAGACCTTTCTTTAACAACTTTTTATTTTAGTAGAGAAAATGTCCCGCACGTGCCCTCTTTTATACAAATTTTTAAAAGAAAATGTCACGCACAAGACCTCTCTTTTAAAACTTGTTATTTTTGTTAAAAATATTTTTATTTATTATTTTTAACGTTATTTTTCATATTGTGTTTTTACTGTTTGAAAAAAAATACATATTATAATTTAATATAAATGAATAAATATAATTTAGTTTTCATATTACATATCACATTATGGTGTAGTATCGTTTAAATTATTAATCTTTAAAAATTCTTAAAGCAAAGTTTGATTCAGAAATTGTAGATCTTACTCTAAATGAATGAAATAAATATTTTCTCCGTGCAATGTAGTTAACTGTATTTTATTTCATAAAATCAGTTTATAATGCAACTGATGTTCTTTATTTTGTAAACTTTCCACCACTAACTGAAATAATGGAAAGGGGGAAAGATGAAAGATCTTTAAAATAAATCCACCTTTTTATAAATTTCCTTGAATATTTTACGATTTCCCCTTTTATTTTGTGCCTTCCAATGTGCATTTTCCTTAATTCCAGGCAAGATTTTTGCTTCAAGAGGCAAGCAAATAAATTCCTTTCAGAGAAAAGTGAGTCTCGCGGCGGCAGTGGAGAGGCGAGTATTATGAAATATTCTTCACTGGCAATTCCAGGTCCACCCATAGATATAAATATCGCGTCCTGCGGAATTCGTCCCTTGAGCCCGCTGGAAAAATAAGTGACG